AAGGAGGGAAAGTATCCAGGAAAACAAAGGGGATTTAAAGGGAACAAAAGCGTGAAGGGGAGAAGAGTATAAATACGCAAGACAGTATTTGTTCCAATTAAAACATATAAGTTCATCAAAATGTCTTTATTATCCAATAACAGTTATAACAACCCTATAACAACAACTGCTCAGTAACAATCTATAAACCTCTGTGGTAGAAGGTGAGGTATTCTTATATGGTTTTCTCTATTTACTTATACTAATGTATTCATTGGGCAATTTCAAAGTACACACATAAAATACAGCATCAAGAAACAGAAATATAATAGACACTCAATATTGTACACTTTAAGTACTTATGAGGATACTGAATTTTTAATTTCTCTGTTTCAATATATCTAAACTGACTATGCATTCTTTTTAACAAATCACATAAAACACAATGTCCCATAAAATAAAAATAATAGATCACTGTACTTTATACTATTTAAGACAATGATAATATATTTCAACTTCTTTTGTTAAACTGTTACATAACCCACCAAAAAATCAATCTGTAAAACTAATAGCAAATATATTTATACTTTATTATTAATTTCTTTGGGAAGCATCTTAATTTCCCCAATTTTGATATTTCTTTTGAAAACACATGACTTAAAACATCAGCTGAAAGGTTCAGGCATTATGCTAGCCTGCCCCTGTTACCTGGTAGAATCCACTCAGGCAGTACCCTGGTCAGCCCAGGGTTCCATGGGAACTAAGTCTGCACGCAGGTGTTGAGGACCCCTTTAAAAGACAGACCCCTGCACACTTATACTCTCTTCTCTTCTCCCACTCCATGCTCTCTGCCCCTCTTCTCTTCCTCTTCTCTTACTTCTCCAATGCTTTTCTGTACCTCTCTCTCTCTTTCCCTGCCCTACTCTGCTCTTCCATTTCTCGATCTCTCATCATAATGAACTATGATTAATATACTCTTTATGCTCTCCATGGTTTTTGTTCCAGAGAGCACACCTTTAATTTAAGCACAAATCTAACATCAGCTTTATCTCAGTGTATCCCAGAAATCTTAAGCTAGCATGCCTTGTTTGTGGTCTCATGTACTCACAACATGGTGCTTAGCTTTCTTCCAGAAAAACCAAGACTTCCTTTTCTAGTATAGCTGAAATAATTTCATGTACCTATGTGCCTTCACAGATCACATGACAACATATGAATGTTCAACACATGAAGAAAGGACACAAAGACACTGCAGAAAACACATTTCTACAAAAATTTATATTATCTTAGTCTTTCAGAGAAATATATGAATATCCAATTTAAAACTTAAATACAAAACATTTAAATGTAATGTCAAAACTCACTCAAAAAAATAGATGAATATTGTCACATCCTAAAATTCTTTTCATAAACAATGAAGATTTATTATTTGCATGTGTATAAAATATCGGCTAATAATTTTAAAGTGTTAACCCTCTTTATGTGGTCATATTTAAATAAAAGTGTAAAACACTACAATTAATTGTATGAATTTATCTCTTTTAATACTAAAGGCATCCAAAAGGTCTTGACTTTTTGAAGTACGGCAGCATTCCTGTGACTCACAAATAAGCCAGGTACTCAACATGACAAATCAGTGGTTTGAGTTACTGAAGCATTAGTGGTGAAAGTTTTCATGACTACATTCAGAAGCCTTCGGTCTCTGTCACTAGATAGAATCTCTATGAACTCCTTTCTTTCTTTTAAAAAACATTTCCCTGTATGTAGAAGACTCCAGGAAACTGACACCTTCCATAGACTGTCATAATGATGAGTAAAGCATAAGGACAGGATGCATTAAGGGTTAAATACCAGAGACTTCCTGGCCATTTAATCAGAAAAACATTTCTTCCATTTTTATTCAATATGATGTCTTTTTTTTGCACCATTGCTATTTAAATCGATAATCTTGTTAAAATATTTGGAACATGTTCAAATGAGATCATCTCTTTGAACAGACTTCTTCTTTACAATAATCCATAGATATAAAAGCCTTGAATCTTGCCAAGAAAGACCAGCTAACAGGCAAGCTGATTTGAAATTCAATAACAAGAAAACCAGCAACCCAGATTCCATGGCTCTTCTTACAATGACACCCCAAAAATCAACAGGAAGCAACCAGATAGAGAAACACACACTTACCCAACACCCAGCAACCTAATAATATATCAAAATGGTAGGAATGAAGGGACTCTAGCCATCCCAAGCATGGAGAGCATGGTTCTGGCAGTTCTTGCCCTTCTCCCCCATTCTCTCTGCCTCAAAAACAACATTAGATTACATTCCTAAAGCTAGCCACCAAGGTCCATTACCTTATGTGGCTACTTCCTCCTCCTGAGGCTGACCACTAAAGTCCAGCAACCAAAAGGCCCCTAGAGCTCACCTAATGAAGATGCTCTATCAAAAATAAAAACTTATCCTAACAATGAGTTTCCCCTTTTACCTTTATAAGGTACAATTTGTCCATAGGCCATGTCTGCCTCCTCTCTATTCAGAAATAGTCCTTTGTCCTTCCAGGGCAAATACTCATTCTCCCTCTCCCTTGTACCTCTCCCAATCTCCCTTGTCCTCTATCTCCTGTCCTTATCTCTTATTCTCTGCTCTTCATGTCACTTGGACAAATAAATCTACTTTTTGCAGAGAACTTGGTCTTGAGGTGTCCTGAGCCAATATTGATTATTTCAATAATTATTAAAACACAAAATACCACTGAGAACAAGAACAACTCCAAAAATAAACAACAGGATGACCATAATTAGCACACACTTTAGTAATGATAAATATCAGTCATTTCAATTCTCTAATCAAATGACATAGACTGACTGAATGGATCAAGAAACAAAATCCATCTACCAGCTGCCTACAAAAGAGCAAACCATAATTTAAATATAGACACTGCTTGAGAGTAAAAGAATGGACAGTGATACTCTGATACATGGGACCAGGAAGAAAGCAGGCATCTCAAACCTAGTATCTGACAACATAGATTCAAACTGAAAGTAATAAGAAGAGATAAAGAGAGTCACTAGATAGCTCTGGGAGATTGCAGAAAAACAAGAATGGGTTACTCAAAGGTAAACACTGGTGAATGATGAGGAAACTGGGAAAAAGGGAGGGTTATGGGGAGAGACAGCCAAAATTAAGGGCCATTTGATTGGTAGTATAGAAGCCTAATACAGTAATATCTTCCTAAAAGATACATAAATGAAGATATCTAAATAAAATCACCAAATAACAGAGGAAACAGAACCCCAACTGGAAATTTCTTCTCATCAGATGATGCTTCCAGTATCAGAAACAGGTAGTATCTAAATGAGTTTTTGGCCAAAGAGGCTTCATGGGAACTCCCAAAGAACCCAACCTGTTGCCAAGGCTTTATGTTACTCACCATAAAATGACACCAAGGCCCTGTTGCTGAACACAACACATACACATATCATTGAACATGAGGAAGTTGAGCTGGTGCCTACAAAGAGTCTTCACCACTACAGGCTAGACTACTTGCTACTGGAAGGTACTGGACAATACTAAAGGAAAACCATAAATACCAACTCAGCTACAACTTCTCCAATTTACAATTTTGTCCTGCCTGCATGATATGCAAGCACAATGATAACACAAATACAGAGACCCACACCCAGACAATGTACAGAAAATGAGAGACCTTGAAACACTCATTCATAAATCAGATGTCTTCATCAAATCTCTACTCTTATTGCTCAGGAAACCCTGCAGAAGAGGAGGAATAAATAGTGTAAGAGGCAGAGGAGATAGAGGCCACCAAATAAACAAGGCCTTCTAATATGAATTCACAAAGACTGATGCAGCTTGTACAGAGCCTGGATGGGTCTACACAAGATGCAGTCCTACAACAGAGACAATTAGAGAGCACACACATGCTCTCATCCCTAAACCAGATGTTATTGTCTCCAACTGACAGCCACTTGCAAATGAAAATTCAATTCTCTTCAAGGAAATCTTCCTGGAGAAGCAAACTAGACTTAAGAATAGACCCAAATCATAGTGCCACATCCTATCTTTTATTTATTTTACTTTTCTACCCTAAAGATCCTTGCATATGTATAATGTCTTCCGATATTGTGTTTTTATGGGATTCCTGAATGTGCAAACAAGTGCATCTCCGTGTCTAAATTTGTTCCTCTTGCCTTTTCTTGGGCTCGTTTTCTTATGCTTATTTATTTATTTATTTATTTATTTATTTATTTATTTATTTATTTATTGGTTTTTCGAGACAGGATTTCTCTGTGTAGCTTTGGAGCCTCTCCTGGCACTTGCTCTGGAGACCAGGCTGGCCTCGAACTCACAGAGATCCATCTGCCTCTGTCTCCCGAGTGCTGGGCTTAAAGGTATGCACCACCAATGTCTGGCATGTGTATTTATTTTATCCTATTACAATTTGTTTGTTTTTCTTTTATTGTAATTTTTTGTTTTATTTTATTCTTATCCATTCAATGACTTTGTGTTCTAAGAAGAGACAGAAAATGGGTAGATCCAAATGGGAAAGGAGGTATTTATGATCTCAGAAGAGTAGAGGGAGGTGTTGTGTAAAATTATTTAAGAAAAGTATTATTAAATATCATTAAATTTAATTGGAGGTTCGTATTCATCAAAACATACCACTGAATGATAATGGTGTAAGCAAAAATCACAAATGGATGACTTTGCATCACATATAAAAATTTAAAAATTAGACCAAAACAACCTAAAGAACTCATCACTCCATGATATTAGAAAAATATTTTTATTCAAAAATTGAAAGGAAAAAGAAAAGGACACATTTCATTGAAAATAGTAAAGGTAGGAAATCCAACAAATGGCTAACAATATATTCAATTATAGCAATAACAAAGAAAATTAAAATCACAACGGATTCCTTCACAAAAAAATACCAATTCATACATGTAGAATGTAGAAATTCTAAGAAATTCTAATTGGGTATATTCATGATATTTACCTTAAAATTAGGAGTAAAAAGAAGAAATTCTTATTCTGTCTCCAGTGAACATTTTACCCCACAGTTTTTCCATAGATTTTTGAATCTCTAAATTTCTCAAAGTGTATATTAAAGGATTCAATATGGGAGTGAAAACTGTATAAAACACAGTAATGAACTTATCAATAGGAAAGTTAGAGACAGGTCTAACATACATGAAAATGCAGGGAACAAAGAAGAGGACAACCACCATGATGTGGGAACTGCAGGTAGACAGGGCTTTTCGCCTACCTTCCTGACTGTGAGTCTTAACAGAGTTAAGAATGATTCCATAGGAGACAAGGAGAAGGATAAAGACCACTACAGACATTGCTCCATTATTGGCAACTACACTGAGGCCAAGGAAGGAAGTATCAGTGCATGCAAGTCCTAATAATGGATACATGTCACAGGTAAAGTGGTCAATGACATTAGGCCCACAGAAAGGAAGTTTATAGACAGAAAGAACTTGAAGCAGAGCATGGGCAAATGCTCCAGCCCAAGATAGCACCACCAAATGGATGCAAACCCATTGATTCATAATAGTCAAATAGTACAGTGGCTTACAAATTGCCACATAGCGATCATAGGCCATAAAAACCAGGAGAAAGATCTCAACACCACCAAATAAGTGCTCTACAAATAGCTGGACCAAGCAAGCTGTGAAGGAAATAGTCTTTTTATCACAAAGTAAGTCTATAAGCAACTTGGGCAAAATGGTAGTTGAATACATGGCATCTATGAGGGAAAGATAGGCAAGGAAAAAGTACATTGGGGAGTCTAAGGAGGGGCTGCCAATCACTGTCCCCACAATGAGCAGGTTTCCCACCATTATTCCAATGTAGAAGAGTAAAAACATGACAAATAATGCTTTTTGTTCAGCAGGATCCTGGGTGAGTCCCAAGAGTGTAAACTCTGAAACACTGTTATTCTGTCCCATTTGATCTCCTATTAGGCTTGTTTCAGAGACAGAAGTTCAATAGAAAACCACCTTCCATGAATTTTGAGCAAACCTTGAATCAGTTCTGTCTTGAAATTCATCTTTATCACTGTGCTCTGCAGTGGTGAACCAGCAGCCAATGTTCAGACAGAATCCGGCGAGTTTCTCTTTAAGTATTGCTATAGACCTTGTGTTTGGATATCTAGAATACTTAAAAGCACCAAGTTCTATCTCAAGACTTTGGTAGAATTCTAGACAGAAAAGCAGACAAAGCAGTATCCGTAAATCATACACATGAAACTCATTATAACAATTGTGTCTTTATATAGATAACGGGAAATGAACACAAGAAAGAATCATCTTTTTAAGAATCCTACAAAGAGAACAAGGGAGTTGGCTCACCAGGTAAAGGCTGCTACCTCCAAGCCTGATGACCACAGTTTGATCTCCATTTACCATTCAGTGGAAGAGAACCTATTGCCTTGGGTTGTTCTCTAATACAGGAGCATGCTTACACTAAAACACACAAAATGTATATATGAACTGCTGTGGAACAGTTGAATGTGTGTAAGACCTGCTAGTCTCAGGCCAGACAAAAGTTTCAGCATGGAGAGTGGAGTTTAGCACAATGTTCCACCCCAAGCAAAAGAACTTTTGACAGTTGATAGCACCCAGGAGAATCAATTTTCTTTGAAGGGAATGCCCCTGACAGATTAATCACTTGGATGTGTGCCTCCAAATAAAAAGAGGCACACATCCAAAAGAATCTAGGAAAGTTGTATTTATACGTTTAGTGGGGGAGGTAGGTGCATGTGTGTGTGTGTTTGTATAACAAAACGAAAGAACAAATTTCATGGATTTCAGAGACAGTAACAGGTGCATAAAAAGAATTAGGTGAAAGAAAGGACAGGGGATAAATGACATAATAAAATAAATAAATAATTGAAACTTTTTTTGGGTTTTTGAGACAATGTTTCTCTGTGTAGCTTTGGCTGTCCTGGAACTAGCCCTTTAGAAAAGCTGGCCTCAAATTTGCAGAGATCCACCTGCCTCTGCCTCCCATTAGCTGGGATTTAAGTTTTGCAGCACCACCATCCAGCTAAAATTTTAAATAGACCACTAAAGTTAATTAAACAACCAAACCTATGAAAAGGTGGTGAGAAAATAACATATGAATAGCCCAAACTCTACTTGAATTTTTAAAGTATGCAATTGGGTGGGTAGGCAACAGAGTAACGGATATAGGAGTGATGAGAGGTGAATAGGCTCAAAATACATTGTAGGAAATTCTCAAAGAAGTGATAAAGATGAGAAAATACCATATATGGATAGTTAAAAAGAAAAATTGATATGAAAAAAATCCTTCAAAGTAGTGATCATTATAAATATTATTTGCCAATGTTGAGCTGGAAATTTTAGAGGAGAAATTTTTCCCATTTGACTTTCACATCAAGGGGATATAAAGCATGAGTACTGGAGCATCCAGGCAAATGATTTTAAATTGCGCTGTAGACATGGGCACTACACATCTCAGAAGAATTTTTCTCTTTCTGCTCATTTGATCTCACAAACCTTGATTTTGAATTATATCGAACAGCTCCAATGTTACTGAGCACATCACTGCCTGTAGCAACTTCTTCATCTGACTTTGTCATAACTTTCCAAAGCTATAACTCTGTAAGTTCCTCATTATCCAAATTGGTTCTTGGAAGATTTACATATACTAACATAATTTTCACAAATATTTTTTTGCCTAAAATGATTTTACTTATACCTCTCACCAACCTTCGTGCCAGCAGCCATGATATATTTTTATAACCCTTGGGATAAACAAGGCAGTAAGATGATGGAAATAGAAAGTGAAAACAACATGGTTTTTAATAGAATGCTTCCTAGGTGATGAGAGCTCTTGCATAGAATTCAGCATCCAAAACCCCAAAAGTATAACATTCAAAGAAAAATGCGTAAAAAGTATGAGAAGGCATGGGATTGGATCATTTTTAAATTGTGATTAAAATAATTGGTTGATACAAAGTGGTCAGCCCTAAAACCATACACACACAAACAGCAAAAATGGACTTAGCAGGTGGTGTTTGCATATTTATGCAGCATTTACATATTTGTGCAAACATACCTCTCTCTCTCTCTCTCTCTCTCTCTCTCTCTCTCTCTCTCTCTCTCTCTCTCTGTGTGTGTGTGTGTGTGTGTGTGTGTCTGTGTGTCTGTGTGTCTGTGTGTGTGTAGCCATCATAGTTGAGGAGGAATCTATAGTTTGAGAGTTAGAGGAACATGAAAGGAGTTAGAGGAAAGATACTTGGAAGGGGTTAAGGAGAAGTAGGCAAAGAGGAACAGTAATGCAATTATACTTAATTTAAAAATGTATGAAAATACAAAAACATGCCTCAGTCTGCACCTGAAAAACAAAGATTAGTTAAGAATATTTTAGGATTCTCTCTGGCAAAAAATCTGCAGCACTCTTACTTTATTTCCATCTGTTTCTAGTCCACTATCACTAATTTATACATTTGCATGGTTGACTTCCCAAATACTTTTCAGGTGTAAATGGATACAATCATTCTGTGATTAAGTGATGACTGTAATTCATTTGTTTGTGGTGTACCAAAAAATAATCAGCCACACATTGAGGGAGAGAGTAGCAAAGAGGTGAATGCTGGGGTTTCTGGAGCCGTACACCTGGATAGAGTGTATAACCCACTCACTTACCACCTTCATAACCCTGAACAACTTATTGACGCTGTCTTTGCCTTCATTTTTACCACAGGGATATCCATGCCATCTACTTCCTAGCATGTTTTGTTTGGCTTTCTTATTTCCTGTAATATTGTCTAAAGTACTTCTCAGCACCTGTGACATCTAAATGAATGACAGACAGCGTGATATTTCTTAGTGTTTCATTGTGAATATCAACTCACAATAAGTCATCAGGATATCATTCAACTTAATAAGAATTTTGGCATACTCAAGTATGTAAATAACAGAATACACATAGCTCCTGAACTACTTCTTGAACACTGATCAAAGTTATGTCTTAAGAATTATCAATTTCTTTATATACCAATATCTACCTTTTAAGAAGTTTATTTTGAATAGCAGCAAGCAATTCCATTCATGTGTACTTGTGGTGAAGACATATGCAGATTTTGAGCTCTCTTAAATGTCATTGTGATGCAGCCTCAACATGCCTCATTCACGTTGCTACTTCCACTTCACTCAGGAGACTTACAGTTGTCATTATTAAAACTTCAAACTCTCCGACTGTTTAACATAATTTACATCTAGCACTGTCTTTCATTTCCTATACATCTTCGTACCTTTTTTATTCATCAATATTGGGTTTAATTAAAACAAGTCTTTAGAAGCCAATACAATTATTTACTTAATAAAGTAAGCTACACCGTAGTTAAGTTGTATGAACCATACTGTAAATTATCAGATAATTGGTCTTATAAAAATTGGAGGATACTATAACTGCCTTCAAATTGAACTACTGTCAACAATTCTCTAGAAAATGATAATGTAAACTTACTAAGATAGTGGGTAAGAAGATATAAGATTACAATATCATGTATATCAATGGAAAGGCTTTCAGAAGGATAACTTTAATCATTTGCAGGAAAAAGGATACAACTAGAAACAATTCCATAAATTGAATTGAATCAGTCTCAGAACATCAAATGACATATTTTTCTACTATTTGTTGCCTTTGAACTTTCAATAGATACATGAAATCATCAGTGTACAGAAGACATAAGAGTAGAAGTAACACTGTCCATGGAAACAAGTAACACATAGTGAGGAAGAGGTGTGAAAGAGAGAAACATAGCTGGGAGTTGGGCATACACTCAAAATACACTATATGCTTATGTGAAAATGGAACTGTGTGAACATGTTATCATAAAATAAATGTGTTTATTCAAATATCCTATGTATAACTACATAATAGTAAACTAACAAATCTGAACAATAACATTTCTAATGCTTCTTTAGGAGTTTCTCTGTGCAAACATACAAGTGTATCTACAGGGGTGATTTTAACATATCCATATATCCTACATTTTATTATCAGAAATAATAACAGATATTTGTTTCTTTATACAACCAACATATGTAATGATATGATATTTCAAATCTTCAAGTTTATAAACCCAATCAGTACCACAAAGACCAAACATACATACTATGCACAGTTTTAAAACAAATTCCCCATTCAGCCATCTTTGTGAGAATATGTAGACTTTAAGTATTTGCAGTATATCACAGGAAAGTTTAGTTAGTATCATTTCTTGGGGGTATCACAAACTCACATGTCCAATCTTATTCTTGTTACAGAAAATCTAAGGTATTGTTTAAACTGGGTTTCCTGCAAAGGCTTTGTACAGACACATGCTGTAGGGGAGGACTGGATGGAGAAGGGAACTGGGATTGTCATGCAAAACAATCCTGTTTCTAATTCAAATAAAAAAATAAAAACAAAGATGTGATAACTTACAGATTCTCAGAAAATAATAAAAGACTGGATGAAGAAAATGTACTTCCACATGAATTTCTGTAATCTCTCAGAGGAGTATAAGAGTACTAAATTGAATACCAAAAATATATATTAAAAATAAAACATTAAAACTTACTTAAGCCAAAGTTACATATACATCCGGGGAGAATGTCTTCATGAAAAAAGAAAGACACTCTGTTTCCAGAAGTCTGCAAAAACTCAATTTGGTGAGTATTAATTAACTAGTTTTAACACTTTTATCTACTAGCAAAAATTAAAAGTTAAACAATACTATAATTAACTATGAAATTTGTCTCACTTTATGTAGTTGCAGTGAAGCCATCAGAACAATCTTGGCTTTCAGAGCCTAAAATAGCATTCACAAACAGTCAGTCACCTAATGAGACAAAGGTGCTGGTTTAAATTTTTGAAGACACTAATGATTGTTTCTCCTAAGCATATGTCATGAGTATTTAAATCATTAGAACAA